CTTGTTGAGTAAATTCCATTTAGTCAATTCCTCAGATTAAAAAGCTTGACGAAATCATGGCTCCTGGCAGAATGGCCTACAAGCTGCTGGGAAGGCAGCAAGGTGAAAGCAGCTAGTGTTACCAAGAACGGGGCCAGCGGCAGGCCTCTCACTAGCTCCACAGCATCCTGCAGCAGACACATCATCTCCTACAACAGCAACACTCAATGGATTGTACAAGCATCTATTTTCCTTAAGGAAACTGTTGGATTCCTAGAGAAAACAAAGCCCTTTGTCCAAAATTAGTACTATAATTTCTTTCCTTCGTGGTTTCTTAACGTGTTGACCCTCAAAAATGTTCGTTAGTCTGAAGGCGATTTTGGCTGCTTCCAAGTTTGCCACTCGGGAGATGGAATTACGTTCCTCTCCTCCTTTAGTTTTTGGTATCATTGAAACCCAGACACTCCCTTTCAGTGATGCCTCTGCTATCCCTGTCTCCTTTGTGCTCAGTCATTTCACTGGGTTTAAGGCATGCTCTGTGTATTTAGTTTGCAAAAATAAAACTTTTAGTACAAATTTATATTTTGTACAAACTTTTATGGCACAAGCAGCGAATCTACTCTTTTAAGAAAATATATAAATATCCTTTTCTTCTCTACAAATATCTCCAGTACCCCACCCACTTTAAAATGTTAACTGTACAGGGTCTGCCTCACTCTGCTTTATAGCTCCCCCCCCTCCAGATCGCAGATGTACTGAGGTCCCCATTTTGTTTCTCCAAATGGCTATCTCTTGGTGTAATGATAAAATTCATCAATTATTAATCATGGTGCTTGATAAGTAGATGAAAATGCTTCCTCATAGGATTCCCTATCTATTATGAAAACTAAGGGTAGTGTTCACCTTGAGCTAATAATATTGGGATACTCATTAACACAATTCATTTTTATTGATACTTGGAAATGTTAGACAGAAATTAAAGACAATGGTTAGAGAGTTTTCATGTATATTCTGAATTTATTCTGACTTTTTAAACAATCAAAACTTCAGTGTCTTGTCTATGTTGTTACTTGATACAAAAAGAAGGCCATGCTATGAAATGGGAAGCCAAATTTAAGTTCGATATAGGAAGGGACTAAAGAACTAGTTCTTTAAAAAAAAAAATCATTCCTCATTTCTTTTGTTTGTTTGTTTGTTTGTTTTTTCGAGACAAGGTTTCTCTGTAGCTTTCTTGCCTGTCCTGGAACTAGCTCTTATAGACCAGGTTGGCCTCGAACTCCCAGAGATCTGCCTGCCTCTGCCTCCCTCATTTCTTATTAAACTACTGTATACCATTGTATAGACTTTTCATCAGTGTTCTAAAAAGTGGCAATAATTTCATGGACAGTTTCTGTACAACTTCTACAAATATTCATAGATCGCCCCATTAGTACAGCCCCCCACAAGACTATATCTCCCTATGTGATCATATATAACATGCTATATATTCAAATTATGATTCTTGACTGCACTGATTATTAGTTTGACCTAGAACAATTTTGTGGTGTCTTGAAGACAGCTTGTTTCTAGATGTGATATTTTTCCGAGGCATTATCTCAGCTTATTGTATTTTGCTTTGATTTGTCCTTTTCTTTATTCTATTACAGTTACTGGCATTATAGAACTCATTAAGTACATTGTCTTTCAAAATCCTTGAAGTATGTCTTTATATTTCCTCTATTGTTCCCTTTATTTAAAATCCTGTTATGTTGCAGTTTTCAGTGGCAAGTTTGTATTAATTCTACAGTACTTTCTAAAATCTCACTTTGATCTCTTTTCTATTTTCCTAGTTTGTAACATGCTGTGTGTGCAATCACATGTGCTCTCTTTACGTGTGGTCTTTTTTTCCATATCTAGATTTTGATAGTTCATACTAAATTGATGGGCTTTAATTGTGTTTTCACTCTGAGGTATGCAACCTACTCTACTATAGGGATCTAAATGGACTATTTCTTTAAATCACAAGAGTTAAGTTGCTTTGTTTTTCTATAATGGCTATATTATATTATGATGCTATGATCTTAAAGTGAGCTTTCTACCTCTTGATGGTCAGTGAGGCAATGATGGTTTCCTGTCACTTTTAAAAAAATACCTCCATTATTCATATATATATCACAATGATACTTTTGTTCTTACCCAGAAATGTATTTTATCTGTGGTTCTCCACTCATTTTATAAGGATTTAAGTTTCCAAAGCTAGACACAGCTTTCCTCCATTCTGAAGAGAATATCCAGCTTCTTTTCTCACAGCTAATTTTCTTGTTTGTTGGCGAGAAATCTATTTGCTTCTTTGATGATGATTTTCTTTATTTTCTTGTTTTACAAAGACATTACTTTGCCCAATTTAAAATGTTTCCCTTTCTATCAGAGCCCCTTTGAGACATTCTCATTCTTCCTCGTCCTTTATTTATGTTGATGGCTCACTGAGTAAACAGTATTGTTATTTTGTTCACTTTACATTATGTAATATATTATTACATTTCTTCATTTCTAGGAAGGCTTTTAAGGTCCTCGCCACTCAGATGATTTGCCACTAGATTATGGTTTCTCTTTGTATGGCTTCTTTATGTTATCTTCAAACTGAATGTTATTTTTTAAAGAAACCTTTAGAAAATGGCTTACCATTATTTCTCCTATGTATTGATGCCTTCTTTTCTTCTTCTGAACTCCAATTATGCTTGTCTTTGTGTTTTTTGTATTGTTCTGCCCATCACTTGATTTTTGTTTATTTCTCTAGCAACCTATTTATGATGCACTTTGCAAGATCCTACATGTCTGCCCCTGACACAGACTGTATATCGATCAGAAGCTCTTTATTTGCCCACTCCCTCTGCTAGGCTGTTCATGAGTCTCCTATTTTATTTCCCCCATGCTGTGGTTTTTGATAATGTCTTCAAGAAAGATCGGACTTTACTTTTTAAGTCTGCTACTTCACTTATCATGGCTGCATGTATCATGACTGGGAGTCTGAAAATTGTGGTTCTTTTTTTTCTTTCTTTTTTTCTATTCTTGCACTTTTTTTTGCCCTGTGGAAAGGATGATTCAGTATTAGTAATTATCAAGAAAGGAAGACTTTATCAGTTGAAAATAGTAATTGTTAGTAATTATATTCACATTTAATAGTACATATATTGAAAATATTATGACATAATACTTTTTGGGAAAAAAATATGTAATGCTTCTAGAAAAATCTACATGTCTTATTTACACTCCATTAAAATTTGAGTGATATCCTGAATTTTTCTTTTGTTGTGTAAAATTCCGTATATGTTTATTTTCATATGTATATATGAGAAATTGTAATCACAATTTTATTGCTATTTTTACTTTTTTATGATTAATTTCATTCAAGGTAATAATGTGAAGAGAAAAATACTGCCATTTTTTTGGATTCAGTGTTTGGTATTTTAATAATTTTTTTAAATAGTGTTTAAAAATCTATATTCATAGCTCATCAAATATTTTATAGTGTATGGAGTTGTAAATTGTGTGATTAATTTACAGCCTCCTTACTTTTGAGAAGAAGATCCTGTTTTGTGGCCAGAATGTCAAGGTTCAACAGAGTAATGGAAGTTTCTAATAATGAATATAATGTAACCAAAATCTCCTTCAAGTGATTGCCACAGAAAAATTAAATAGCAAACATTACACTCCCCTTATGCATCAGCCAGGAAGTGAATATGCTCATATGTTTTGAACTCACTTGTGGAGAAAAGGGTTTTCAGAATTCAGATTTTTTTCTAAATGCCTATCTTTTCTGTCCCTTAGATCTATTACAGGCACAAATTCCGAGGTTTGTTGTCATTCTTTATTTGTTTGCTTTTTTGTGTTTTGTTTGGTTTGGTTTGTTGGGGTTTTCGTTGTATTTGTTTATAACTTTTTGAAGTACCTTGAACATATTTTAAAACGGCCCTTAGTTTGCAGAATGATAGCAATCTTTTGACACTTTCTCCCATTTATCCTTATATCCTGTGAAGAGTTAAATGATTTGAAGTGCCTACCACAGATTCTACTAGAGTAGGTATACTTAAAACTCATTTGATATCTAAACCAATGCTATTGTTTCTCCATTCCAATCAATATAAAATATCTTAGCGTGGGTATTAAATGTACAAAACAACTGGATTTTAAACTGTCCTTTATATCTTTTTTTTTCTTTTCTGCAGGCTCTTAAACCTAATCTACAATGGAAAAATTCCTTTTTTACCTGTTTCTCATTGGCATAGCTGTCCGAGCTCAGATCTGTCCAAAGCGTTGTGTCTGTCAGATTTTGTCTCCTAATCTTGCAACCCTTTGTGCCAAGAAAGGGCTTCTATTTGTTCCTCCAAACATTGACAGAAGAACTGTGGAACTACGGCTGGCAGACAATTTTGTTACGAATATCAAAAGGAAAGATTTTGCCAATATGACCAGCTTGGTGGACCTGACTCTATCCAGGAATACAATAAGTTTTATTACACCCCATGCTTTTGCCGATCTACGAAATTTGAGAGCATTGCATTTGAATAGCAACAGATTGACTAAAATTACAAACGATATGTTCAGTGGGCTCTCCAATCTCCATCATTTGATCCTGAACAACAATCAGCTGACTTTAATTTCTTCCACAGCGTTTGATGATGTTTTTGCTCTTGAAGAGCTGGACCTGTCCTATAATAATCTAGAAACGATCCCCTGGGATGCTGTAGAGAAGATGGTGAGCTTGCATACTCTTAGTTTGGATCACAACATGATTGACAACATTCCTAAGGGAACTTTCTCCCACTTGCACAAGATGACTCGGCTAGATGTAACATCAAATAAATTGCAAAAGCTGCCCCCTGACCCTCTCTTTCAGCGAGCGCAGGTGCTGGCCACCTCAGGAATCATAAGCCCATCGACTTTCGCATTGAGTTTTGGTGGAAACCCCTTGCATTGCAATTGTGAGTTGTTGTGGCTGAGGCGCCTGTCCAGAGAAGATGACCTTGAGACCTGTGCTTCTCCTGCTCTGTTAACTGGCCGCTATTTCTGGTCAATCCCCGAGGAAGAGTTTTTGTGTGAGCCTCCGCTCATAACTCGGCATACACATGAGATGAGAGTCTTGGAGGGTCAAAGGGCAACACTGAGGTGCAAAGCTCGAGGGGACCCTGAACCTGCAATTCACTGGATTTCTCCTGAAGGGAAGCTGATTTCAAACGCAACACGATCTCTGGTGTATGATAACGGAACACTTGACATCCTTATAACAACTGTAAAAGATACAGGTGCTTTTACCTGTATTGCTTCCAATCCTGCAGGGGAAGCAACACAAACCGTGGATCTTCACATAATTAAACTCCCTCACCTACTGAACAGTACCAATCATATCCATGAGCCTGATCCTGGCTCTTCAGATATCTCCACCTCAACTAAGTCAGGTTCAAATGCTAGCAGTAGCAATGGTGATACTAAAATGAGTCAAGACAAAATTGTGGTGGCAGAAGCAACTTCGTCAACAGCGCTACTTAAATTTAATTTTCAAAGAAATATTCCAGGAATCCGTATGTTTCAGATCCAATACAATGGTACTTATGATGACACCCTTGTTTACAGGTAAGAAAAATATAGATATGTTGGATTATTGTTGACCATGATAGCACGGGGTTTGGAAATTACTACTGCTTTGTTCTGTTTCTAAATCGACAGCACTATTCTGTGCTGTAATTGCAGCAATTTGACTTTATATTGAATAATGTAATATATGAAATGGTGAATACATACGGGGAATTATTGTGATTGACATTATTTTAAACAGTACACATCTAGATTTAATATTATGCTTCTTTTTTTAACCTCACATAGGGGATGTGACTATCAGACAATAAGACAGATAATTTAACATTTCAAAAACATACCAGAATTTACACATCCACATGAGTATTCTTTCCTTCAAGGAAGTCACGGTGGGAAGCTACCCCATTACCCCAATGATGCTGCCACTGCCCAAAGCAGTTTTGGAATTATCTTTAGAACCTTCGGCATACTATTTTGAATATCCTCAGTGGTGGCAAATCTTCGTCTTTTGAGGGTGAGTTTCAATTTTGGAAACAAGCCTATGGAGTCAAATTTTGTCAATAAGGTGGGTGATCAAGATGGTTACTGCCACTTTTGATCAAAAACAAACTGGACGTCACTATAAAGTAATGAGACTGATTCTTTGAGTGACTGAGGTGTGTGTGTGTGTGTGTGTGTGTGTGTGTGTGCTGTCTCATGTGCTTGGGTTCTTCAGACACTTCCAAAGAGGATGTTCATTGTATTTTGAACAGTAAAACTGTCACTGGGCATTAGTATGAAAATACTCAGACAGACCGTGATGGAGTACTTGTATCTGCTAATGGATTTCTGGTATGTTTTTCTAAAGTTCAGCCTCATTGATATATAGTCACATTTGGCCAATTTTTCATTTGGAAATTCACATTTTTTTATTTCATATAATTTTACTCTTGACAGATTATTATTACCACTAGGAAACAATGTAAAGTCACAGTTTTGAAAAAAAAAAAACAAATAACATTTTTAGATGAGTTTAGTTTCTGTATAGAGAACTTAAATTTTTGAAAATAAGTTGCTTTTCATTCATGTCTGAAAATGAGATTAATTTCTTAAAATAAGTGTAAACTCATGGCAAAAAAAAAATAATAAAACAAAAAGCATCCTAGCTAGCTATGTAATCAATCCCGGGCCAGGTTCTACCTGGTTGAGTTTTAATTTCCTATCTTTAAAAAGAACGATTAGGCTAAGTGGATTCTAATATCCCTCTCATCAGTAAATGGATGTGGTGGCATACTATGACATATGAGCATTAGCAAAATGTAGTTTACTCCTGTCTCCCAGGCTCTCCACAGGCTCCACAGATGATAATCAGTGGTCCAGGGGCAGCACTGAATTCCCTACACTTCCTTGTACTGACTATACTTCCTAAGTGTTATCTCTGTGATAAGCTGCAGTTTGCTTTCAAAATCCCACAAATTGTAATCCTGTTGTGAGAAATAAATGGTTTATGATTCCGAGAACCTTGGCGAGTTCCTGAAGTGAGTGGTTTTCTTCCCTAAAATGTTTATAACCATTTCATTGAGTTTCATAGACAATCAACATTGATGTGATTAAGTGTTTAGTGAGAGCCCACAGTTAGAATACACCCACTGAATGGCAGCAGTGACTTTTGGTTATGAGTATAAGCTCTTATAAGTGTTCCGGTACACTCAGAACACACTGTCTAGCTTGTATCCTAGTTTCGTTCTTCCATAGTTTGAAATTTCTATAACTCATTTTTGGGAGAAATTATAGTTCCACCCTTTACTTCCAAATTAATTTTACTTTAAATTGTATTTGGTTTCACCTTAAGAAGAAAGCTATCAACAAACAGGAATGCAGAAAAGTCGAAGGAATCCCGAGAGATCTCTAAACCTAAAAATTTTTTTCTTGATGGAGGTTCTCACCCGAATATGGTAATTGGATGTGTTCACACTCTTACCAACAGCTTTGTGTCATCCTGTGTCCAGGTTATGGCTCATACATGCACACCACACTCATTAAAACGTATGGGGAGCTAAGGCATAAGAAATCACGATGTCTGTAAATAAAATCTGTTCATCCTTGTAACAGTAGAAGTTATTAAAGCCAGCCTTAGCAGGTACCATTCCGTAGCTTGCTTATAACTGATTTGGAAAGCAAATGCTCAGAATTGCTGTTTCATTCTGGTCACTAATGTGACTGGCAGTGTTTTCTCTTTCTTCAAATTGCCGTGCCGTCATAGAGGTGTTGTAAGTGCTAAATGGATTTGTTTAGTAGTCAGATAATGTCACAGTCACACCTTTCAAAAGCAATTTGTCATAAATGATTTTTTAGCCATGGCTTTTATTAGGAGTTCTGCTTTGCCAAGCAGTGTAATTAGAGAGCTTGTCAAGGCATGGTGCAGGCACCATTAATATAATGCAGACTGTAACAATGAGCTTTCAACTATTCTAACTGGGTAAATATAGCATCAGATCATTTTTATATATTTCATATCTGTTATAAATGTGCTTATCTTGATGAGTTCTGAAGGAGACAGAACTAAAGCTGTAATGAGTTTTTGTATATGTGTCTTGTTCTGTTTTGAATATTAACATATATTCCATTGTCCCTCAGAATGATACCTCCGACAAGCAAAACATTTCTGGTTAATAATCTGGCTTCTGGAACTATGTACGACCTGTGTGTGTTGGCCATATATGATGATGGCATCACCTCCCTCACTGCCACAAGAGTCGTGGGTTGCATCCAGTTTACTACCGAACAGGATTATGTCCGTTGCCACTTCATGCAGTCCCAGTTTTTGGGCGGCACCATGATTATTATCATTGGTGGAATCATTGTTGCATCTGTGTTGGTTTTCATCATCATACTAATGATCCGGTATAAGGTTTGTAACAATAACGGGCAACACAAAGTCACCAAGGTTAGCAACGTTTATTCTCAAACTAATGGGGCTCAGACGCAAGGCTGCACTGTCACGCTGCCCCAGTCCATGTCCAAACAAGCCATGGGCCATGAAGAGAATGCCCAGTGCTGTAAAGTCGCCAGTGACAATGTGATTCAGTCTTCAGAAACATGTTCGAGTCAGGACTCTTCCACCACTACCTCTGCTTTGCCTCCTACCTGGACTTCAAGTGCGTCTGCGTCTCAAAAGCAGAAACGAAAGACTAGCACGAAGCCAAGCGCTGAGTCGCAGAGTGAAGCTGTCACAAATGTTGAGTCCCAAAACACTAACAGGAACAACTCAACTGCCTTGCAGTTAGCTAGCTGCCCTCCTGCTTCTGTCACAGAGGGGCCCACATCTCAAAGAGCACAAACCAAGCCAAGTAAGTTTCTCACCATGCCTGTTGAGATAGCTAGAGCCAGGCATGGGTCCTCTCTCAGTGGAGGATTAAAGGAATATTATCGCGATGGTAACTCGCTGAAATTATACGAGCTGTCTCCTAAGAGAAACATGTCCATGAATGGGATGTGGACTGAGCCCTGCATTTCTGATGTTTGCTATGGAAAAGTAACTATTTCAAATGTGGAGTACATATAAGAAAGCTTTATATAATCCGCTATTTCTCTATAAAAAGAATCACAGTGAAAATTCACAGAGGAAAATGAAATTTGAAATTCTTGTCTTGTCTCTGATACTTGGTCTTCAGGTTTCTTTAAAACCTTCTAAGGATGAGGCAGGGACTATAGTACCTCCCGTTACATGCATGAAGATCACATAAGTAAATTGACAAGTGTGGTGGTAAGCAAGAGACAGGCACAGTGCCTTCCCCGACGCCAAGGCTATTATCGAGACCCTGTGTCAGCAAATCATTTTTGAAAAGTGATCACAGGGCCAAGAGATGTTTCAGTCTGTAAGGCACCAAGCCTGCTAGCCCTGACCACTTAGTGAATAGAAGCCAAAAGTGGAGATGACCAAGTTCTTCAAGTTGTCTTCTGACAGTGATGCCAGTGCCCCCACAGTCCACGCAAAATAAACATTTGTTATGTTAAATGTTCTCACAGGAAATGTCTTCCATAAAAATTAGATTTCTAGTAGTTTAAAGAGAGGTCTGTACATAAGGAATTGACATCTTAAAATGAAGGCACTGTATTACTTTCAGTGGCAATTTTGTTGTAAAGAACAACTCAATGTTTAAATTTATTACTTCAAATGAGTGTTTCCAGAAATGCTAAAGAAAGTAACCTGGTAAGAACACTCTTGGTTTGGGGCTAAAATTGTTGTAAGCTACTTCTTATTTATAACCCAGATTTTTTTTGCAGTGCAAAAGTTATAACATGAATTCATTTCGAATCCATCATATATACTAATCCATAGAAATATAAAGGTTATTGCATTTATCCCACACACATTTGTTGAATGAATGTGATTTATATTTTCTTAACCCAAGTTAGAGAATCAGAAAAAATGCAAGCCTGCTTTTACAAACAGGCGCTTGTCTTTCTCACCAAGAGGAAGCAAAACTCCTAAAGGAGGAATTATCACCTTAACAAATGGTAGAAAATTCTTTTTCTCTTCTTTGCTATAACTCTGCTTCGGAATGTTTGTCTCTTAAAGTAAATGCATTTTTTGAAGCCAAAGACTGTGGTAAATGTAATCATAACTCATTCAGCATAGGGGAAATGCAATATTTTAAAGAATATAAAATTGGGTCTATGTTTCCTTGAAAATACATTCCTGGAGATTCATTGAAGTCATGATGATTCACATATATTTAACTCTATGCTGCTGTTAAGAAATGATATGCATGGTTTTATTTTGTTTTTTTCCTTCTATTTTCATTTTTATTTTCTTTGAGACTATACATTTCTAAAAACTTAGACCCTTTACTTGGCATAGAACATCATTTTAGGCATATTATAAGTGGGTGCTTTATATATGATAATAAATCACAGGGAAGTGAGCTTAACAAAGTTTGATGCTATTTGTTTGGGGTTTGGTTTTCTTATTATTGCTTGTTTGTTTGTCTGTTTGTTTGCTTTCATATGACACAAGGTATCATGTATCCTAAGGTGACCCCAGACCCACTGTGTAATTAAGAATACCTTGAAGGTTTTCCCATACTCTTGACTCCACGGCCCAGGTGTTAGGGTTAGAGATTTGCCCATCACATCTGCCTCAAACATTACTTGCAGCTGAACTTCAGACTTTCAAATCATTAGCTTTAATTTTGCTTCTATGCATATGCAAAATATCCAACTAATTTTATTTTGTCAGAGGTACATCGTATATTACTTTCTTTTGATGCTATTAAATGAGAGGTCAAAGAGAAGCAATTGGATATAACTATAGTGCCCCTTCTCAAGAATTTTTTTTTAGAGCTTGCCCACTGGTCCTACTTTTTAAATCACATCTCTTCCTTCATTACTTTTCACTAAGCAAAGTCTAATCCTCCTTCAGTGCTTCTTTAGATAGCTCCTTGGGGGGACATATAAGGTCACCAATGTGGTCTTTGTTCATGAAAGCAAGGCACCTCTCAAGGTGGCTTGACTTTCAGCACTGTTAAAGTACTAGCATCTAACTCCAACTCTGCATTTTGAATTCACACTGCTCACATTATTTCTAATGAGCTACTGATTGGCAACACCATGTTAATAATCTCCCAATTCTGAGATTTGCCACTATCATACCAAACTTTTGAGTAGGTCAAAGTTTTCTAGTCTTCACAAAGAAATGGTTTATGGAGGACAAAAAGACCATGAAATTATATAATACAACGTAGACAAGCCTGCATGAATGCTCTAAATTGCTGGAAAAGAGATTTTACGATTTCCTTGGTTTTAGAAATGGTCATCTTGCTTATGCTTATCATGACTGGGAATATTTCATTTCTCATAGATAGTTAAAAATATGTAACAGAAGCATATGGATATTATTTTAATAAAGTCAAGAACTAATTAGTATTATAGTATTTTTGTGAGACTAAAGGTTTATTTCCAAATCCTTGAATGCTTGTCTCTTAAACATAAATACCTAAGCCTGTGTTCTAACCTTTGCAGAAGTTTTTATTTTGAGAAATCAACGAAGACTAGCCTATCAAGAAAGTCATCTGGTCTTCGTGTGCATTTACGTGAGAGCAGTTTTGCTTATGAAGATAATTAATGCTGTTTATTCCAATGACAGACTCAAAATAGATGCTTGCTTGATTGAATGAGTAAATGAATAAATACATGAGTAGCCTTAAAGATGGAGGTATTATTATTACCATAAACAACAGTTTTGACTAACTAACATTGTGATGATTGTGGTCCAAAACTGTTACCACAGCAGAGATTCTGTATTCTCCTTGTTTTCATTTTGCCATGTAGTACCTAACTTATCATATATTGAACATGCTGTTTTCTTTTTATTCTTTCTGATTATAAGCAAAACGAATATATTTTACTTCCTTTTTCTGAAATATTTAAATTTAATTTTAGTCATGTAACCTTATCAGCTTGTTATATGCAAAAACAAACATATGCTCTTTTACCTTTTACAGCATATTTTAAAAAGTATATACCCTGAATGTTTAGACAGAACATTATGTATTCATCTCTAAATGGTTTTGGTTCTTTGTGAATAGCTAAATTTGATTGAGATATACCAAAGCATAATTCAAGTGGTATCATGGAGGGGGAATAGAACCTCCAAAGTTTCCTCAGTGTTCTAGGAAATAACAGGTTTTTTTTCAATGACTGTTGTATTTTGAACCTCCAAATTGGTTAATATGTAAATCAGATGTATGAAAATGTTGAAATTAGATGCAGTGATGAGTAACCCTAACATTGTTCAGTTTATTTTTTATTGACTTCTTAAAAGAGGTCTCACTAGCTAATACATTAAACTAATTGATTTTATGTACTCTTAAGATAGAGTTTGACAAATTTTAGAACATAATTTTGAAGTATTCAGTGTTACCCATTAACACAGAAATATATCCAATAAAATATTTGTATTGTTTCTGAAATAATTCACTTTCAAAACTTTAACATAGTTCATTTCCCCTTTCTATAAAATATTTTCACTTTAGTATTTAACACTCATACAATGCTTGCTGTTAGTATAATTTCAGACATTTTTATTTGCTTTCATTGCAAATTTCATTTCATTTGCTTTTACTTAAAACAAATAATCAGGAAATTCAATAATTGCCACTTGTTTCTTTAAATTTTAATATTCCATCTTTGCTTATGTTCAGGTATAAACTTATGAAAACTTCCTTTAGGATACAAACACTTAAAGTTTCTGTGGAAATAAAAGATACCATAAGTATCGTGCAAATGTAAAACATTGTCTTTTCAAAGAAGACAGCAACTAAGCATTTGCTGTTTTCTTGGCCTCAATGATTTACAACTGCAGTTACAAAGCATGGCCCTTCCTGCTAGACCAGGGGAGGATCATTTGTTCTCTTCCTCAGACTTTTTTCAGGAGAGATATTGCCCTTCTAACTACATGCTTTTATCTAAGTTTGGTGAATTACTAGGGCAAAGTCTTCAGTAGGATTGTGGGTTGGATAGAAAAGAACTATGCTTTTTTTGTAATAGCATTTCATTTGTATTTCAATAAATAAAACTTGTCTGAGGATCATAAAAGTGAAACAGCCACACTGGACAACCTAACAGACAAGGTAGCAATAGCACACACCTTTAATCTCAGCATCCACACCAGGTTGTCATAGACACCAGGAGGTAGCGGTACATGCTTTTAATCCCAGGTAAACAAGGAACACTATAACTACAACGATCTAACCTTCAACTCCCTCAGAAACCCAAGAAAGAAAACTATAACTATAAATACCTGGTCTTTTCCTTCCTCAGAGACCCAAGAAGAAAATAATATTAATTGAGTAAGCCAGAAGTACAAGGAAGTGACTTCCAAAAAAAATATGAGTAATGACAGAAACAGTTGGCTGCCTGGACAGTCACACAAAGTTCCTCTGCCATCCATCCTTGGCCTACAGGCCTGGCATATCCTGTAGACATTTCTGAGAAGCAGGATATTTTGTGTCCTGCTTGTTTAATAAGGACCGTATAATGTTAACAGTTGAGGTAGGGATATTTTCTTGTTTCTTTTTGCCACAAAGAAAGTAAACCCCATGTAAGTTTCTTCAAAGCCCATTATGTTCTCTGAGGTAGATTGGTGTTGTCAGGGGCAGACATGTCTCATTGTCATTAAATAAAAGAAGCTAGGTTATTATAACATCTTAAAAGCCATATTCTATAGATCTCTGAAGTGTTTGAAGGTGACCTGTCTATCTAAAATATATCGTTGTTTGACCTAGGAAGTATGACTAATGTAACTACAAGTTTGATTATACTAGATAATTAACTATTAACCTATATTACTTTATTATCCTAAACAGTTAGCAATAATAACTTTCAAAGACTACAAACTTGCATTACATTGTCAAATGAGTTATATAGGTATAATACCTTGAGCAAGAGTAGAAATATATGTAAAATATGTTCTAACAAAATTAAACTCAAATTTGTATTATTATAAAATTTTGTGTAAAATATACAAGTGTCCAATCCATGTAAAACATTTAAAACTAATAGTTGTTTCGTAAAAGTAGATTCAATAATCCATCTTTTTATCTTATTATATCTATATCCTCTCCTTTTTCTTCTCGGAGTAGATTCAATAATCTATCTTTTTATTCTAACATATCATCTTTTTTCTTTTGAAATCAAGATAATATCCATATCTCCCTTTTTTCTTTTTAGAGTCTATTCAATAATTCTACCCTTTTATCCTATCATTTTCCTTCTAAGATTGTTATAGTACTATTACAGTAATGATAGTAACAATAATAATATAACCCATAACAATATTTATATCCTTTATAATAAAAGTAGCATATGACATTGAATGTCTTTTATGGGTATGAAATATGTCTTTAATGGCCTGGAGAGACAACTCAGTGTTAATTACTCTTAATGTTCTCGCACAGGAGCTGCATACAGTTCCTAGTACCCACATGGAGGTTTACAACCTTCTGAAAAGTAACATTGAAAAGACTGAATGTCTCTTCTAACTTCTTAAGGGTTCTACACTCATACGGTGCATATCCTTTCACTCATATGAACATAAATAAACATAAAATAAACAAATAAAAGTTTTAAAAAGAACAATCTCATAAAATGCATAGAGGAAAGAGGAAAGTAATCAAAGTCAACAAAACAGCAAAATTTTAGATGATTTTTAAAGTCTGGTCTATAAAACTACTCAATTCTAGACACAAAAACTAAGAATGAAAGCAAGAAAGGTTACTCAATATTGATACTATGAGCACCAAGATTTTTGTATTTACTTTCATTGTTTTCCAGAAAAAAATGACTGCTTTCAAGTAGAACAAAAGTTTGCACAAAATAAAAAGTATCATTAATATGCTCCTGGGTCTCAGCTGTCCTAGCAATATGCTGTTATCACAAGTTAGAAAGAAATTAACGGTTTATAGATTAATAGGTATGAAAGTATTAAATTATCCCATAGTAGGAATATAAATACAGTTGAAACTTCATTAAAATTTGTGACTTGTAATTATAATAAAGGATATGGAGAGTAATTGTTCTTGCTCTGTTCAGCTGTTTAATGTCAATATTTAAGAGCTAAAGTAAACACCAAATATATATTTACATTGAATATTTGAACAGATTATGGATGAATATAGTTCTATACAAATACCTAATTCTAGAAGAAATTAACTAAATAATATTTTAATGTAATGCAAATTAATAACTGCAATTACTTAAATCAAATTCGATTTTAAAGGAACTTCAGAGAAATGTTCACAAATTATATCTAACCTTTTTAAGACAATAGCCAAATGCGCACTATCTAATACATATTTGCCATTTTAAACTTTCTAATTATGTCCAATTCAATCCTGATTTTTTTCTTCTCAAAATAGTGAATGCTATGCCCATGAATGCCAAAAGAAAAAGAAAAAAATAATTATTTCTAATATGTTCCAGAGCAAACCATGAGTCTGTTGTTCTTTTAAATGTACTTATTTTGGGCGTGTGGTTACCCGCCTTTTCTCATCTGACACATATGCAGTGCAATTGATGTTATTATGATCTATATCATATCTAGTAAATTAATATTTGTATGTTTGAATAAATTGAAGGAATTATTAAATATATTTTGACTCTACCATAATCAAATTCTCTAAATATTTTTCTCTCTGTACCATTCATGGAAATCTTAATCTTTAGGGATTATTGTAAATTCAAATAAATATTTGTGCTCATTGTGTGTATATATAAAAGTTTATATTTAAAAGTAAATTAATATTTCATCTTTTCTCATATACTTTATATAATCTGATAGCTATCCTGATAGACTGTTAACCCTTTCATTATCAAATAATTAGTAGTTTTTTCATAATAACACATTATCAAAAAAATAGAATATAACCAACCAGGGTTGTGTTGAACATTTACAATCAAGTGGTATGTGTTCATAAATATTAATGTAGTATTTTATTTTTACTTTTACTTAGAAATTCATCACATAAGAATAGTTGAAGACTAAATATTAACAAATGTTTAAGATCATTTTTTTAATCTTTATGTGCTAATTATAGATGAGTTCTGTTAGCAACTTTGAACTCTGTGGTTTCTGTATGTTCATAGACAGTTCTGCAGCTGAAATGCTTATTCAGAGATAATTGGAAATAGAACCCCAACCGTCTTATTGAATTGCATTGATTCTATATTAGGAAACATTTTTATATGCTAGAAATAAATGTTGTGAAACTAATTGTTATACTATTAAATATATGATATCGCTATATAAAACCGTAAAAAATAGGACATCAAATTGCTATCATGCAAGCGACTGTTCATCTTAGTAACCAAAGTGAGTAGAGTATTAGCGCCGGAACTTATGGAAGAAAACAAGTAACGAACTGCTCATAACATTGAAAATTTCATTCCCAGATGCTTCGCTGACTAATGTTGACCAGAATGTCCAGGAAACACAGGTGAGAAGCTTTTTAATTGCTATTCATTTCAAAAACCAGAGAGACATGCCATTGTAAGTGTGAAATTTTGAATTGCTGATGTATCAGTACCCTGTCTTGAGATTGTCCATTAAATGCAGTGCTTATCGGTACAAACATAAGTATGCCTGATTTCAGTGAATTTTCCAATCACATCTGGATCTACTCCTGACGGACAGGAATGTTGTCGGGATGAGACATAGCTCTAATTATGCTGTTAGTGTGATCCTGCAGGGACTCTTATGGTCATTCCCGATTTAAATCACTTTAAGAACTATTTCTGTACACAGGGATATCTCTGTATGAATAGATGATCCATGGATACATGTGTGACGCATGCCTGACGTCATCTTTGAAAGGATTACCAAGCCATGTCTCTCCTTTTTTCTTAGTCTGGGTTGAGGTGACACGTTTTGCCCTGTTGAAAAAAAGATGAAGGTTTTCACTGATCTGTAAAATGAATGAAACCGTTTGACAGGGAAGCGTTTCGTTGCACAGGCCTTACTTGTGGCATTATTTTTTTATCAGCCACCAATTACTCTTCTTGAGAGTTTTTTTTTAATGAGAATTTGATTTCTGCAATTTTAATTGGATCAGAACGTGTGTTTCCAGAAGGGAGGAGCACCAAAGCAATCTGTTCAAACAGCTGGAAGTGTCAGCCGTTTGCCGAGGTTTGGAACAGGGAGAAAATCTGCTTTTAAAAACTGAAAACAAAGATATGTGCTTCCCTGCTCCGACCTTCTGGGAGCTTCCTTAGTGTTGGCAAGAGACTTGAACCTAGAGTGGCTCCCAGGAGCCCAAGGCGATGTCCCCAGTTAGTCCCTTGGGAAACTGAGGATAGGGAACCTGAAATGACCCCATCCTATAGCAATACTGACGAATATCTTCCATATCACCATCCACCTGGTGATGGATGGAGATAGAGACAGAGACCCACACTGGAGCACTGGACTGAGCTCCCAAGGTCCCAATGAGTAGCAGATGGAGGGAGAACACGAGCAAGGATGTCAGGACCACGGGGGGTGCACCCACCCACTGAGACAGTGGGGCTGATCTATTGGGAACTCACCAAAGCCAGCTGGACTGTGACTGAAACAGCATGGGATAAAACCGGACTCTCTGATCACGGCGAACAATGAGGACTGATGAGAAGCCAAGGTCAATGACAAGGGGTTTTGATCCTACTTCATGTTCTGGCTTGGTAGGAGCCTAGCCAGTTTGGACGTTCACCTTCCTAGACATGGACATAGGGGGGAGGACCTTGGACTTTCCACAGGGCAGGGAACCATGACTGCTCTTTGGATAGGAGAGGGGGGGGGGGGAGGGGGGGGGGGGGGGGGGGGGGGGGGGGGGGGGGGGGGGGGGGGGGGGGGGAAATGGGAGGCTGGGAGGAGGCGGAAACTTTTTTTTCTTATTCTCAATAAAAAAAAAGAAGAAAAAAAAAATAAAAACTGAAAACAGCAACAACCAAAAACTACATGCTTTCATTGACGAAGGAATTTTTTTTTGCCCCTTCCAACATCATATACATTAAAACAGTATTAATTTTCCCAGTGTGTCACAGTTTTCCCTAGTAAATTCCAACGCTAAGCCAGAACAAACATTTTAAGTATATTTTCATCCCTGGCCCTTTATTGAGTGTCTTAGAGAACAGATGTCTCAGGAGAAGCCAAGAGCAGCAAGTCCGAGTGCCACAGACGGCTCTGGCCTGCAGAGGGCGCCTTGCCTCTCCACATCGTTTCTCTGTTTCAGTCCAGTTTCCCTACTCTGCACATTCCTCCTTTCTATCTTTCATTTCCTGGGTCCTCATCGAGCGCCCCCTCCCACTCCTCCAGCCTCCTCTTCTTTCTTCTCTCTCTCTCTCTCTTTTTTTTTTTCTCCCTGCTCTATTACTTTTAAAAGTTCATTGTTGGAGTTTGGGCATCCAGTTTACCTAAACATTTAGGTAGCTCAAATAAGGGTTTAGTGCAGGTAATTGCTGTATCAAAAACATTTCAAAGCGGTGCTCAGTGTGATGCTACAGAGAGAATCGTAAGAGTGAATACTCAAGACGTATTAAAATTGCCAAATACAAGTCACAAACATTAAAACGGCATTACACATCATCATGGCTATTTCGTATCATTTAGGAGTGGAATTTAGAACTTAGGCTTTGTCCTCAATCTGGAACATCTTTGCCCTGCTTCAGAAAATAAAACTTAGTCAATGCGATAGATTCGTAAGATTATTAACAATGCGTTTTCATCACACAGAATTTAGTGTTCTTTATAGAAATGTTGAGCATGTGATTCAAACAAAACGTCAGCCACTGTCTACCGCCAATAGACATATTAACAATCCAGAACATCACGCAGTCGTTTGTCTTTCGCTACGAAATTTCCATGTGGGGCTCTGTTTCTTAGCTGAGTGAGGGGAACATAATGGAATATATCAGTCTTTAAAACGCTTTTTTTTCTGTTTTTTTTTAAACTTCATGATAAACTTTTTTTTAGTATTTTTTAAAAGATAAAACTAATACCTTAATGTCAAAGAAATATTTTATTTTTAATTTTTCTATGTATCTTCACTATAACCATTACTAAGAAATTCCAAATGGAAAAAAAAAGATGTTGATCAAATCCGTGTCAAAATCTCATTCATTCATTATCCAGTTCTCATTCAGTTTATATATGTGTGCATATATTTTTAAGTTGCTCTGTGACTTCACTATAGTATTATTGGAACATGTAAGTTATTTTGGCTATTGTAGGTTTTTGATTTCCACAGTGGTCAGCAAGATCAAGCCTTTCTGAAAGGGCTGTGACCTTCACTCTCTCACACGTGCCCTTACTGAGTGCTCCGTTACAAGTGCATGAGGGGCCCAGACAGAACATAGCCTTTGAACACACATTCACAGCTAGGGGCCTGTCTCAGGTCTTCCACACTCACGGTATGAGGTAAAGGGAATTTTTATCATACATGGAGTGTTTGAATTGTATTCTATAAAGTGCCCAGTTCTTTTTTTATTGTTCCTAAGGACCTTCTTTGACTTAATGTAGAAATACAAGAAGCCTAAAATAGTTCTATGAATTATATAAAATTAGTTTAAAATATTATAAAGATATAATTGCATGAAGCAGACTGAAGGACAAAGAGGAATGGAGTCATCATGACTTTTGTGATGATAAATACACCTGAGAGAATTAGAAAGATTTGTTTTCTTAAAAGTTCCCCAGTGAAACAGAGGAGCCCATGTTAACCTGGCAGAAAAGAGCAGTGTATATTGAAGTGAGAAGACTGGTCCTTACTGATGCTGTGTGATTGACAGTTATAAGAAGGACTTGTATGCATAAAAATAACAAAAATATGTAAGCTTTTTGTGTGTGTGTGCAAACACTCACAGGAAGTGTGGCATAGCCTTTACTAGATTAGATCAGCCTTAAAATAATTATTTTCTTTTTAATTAAATTTTGTCTACTTTATTATATTTTATTATTAAATAAGGTAATTTTAAAATTTAGACGTTTTCATAACTTCTCTACTAATGGACTTTAACTATGAAGTGACAACACCAGTTATTTTCTCAGGTTTTCTATATAAAGGATCTGAAACAAAAATAAGCTTCATTGGCTATGCATCTACTCTTCGTTATAACCAAACTCTACCAAACTATGGGGGAAAAGTCCAGATTTTAACATGTGAGTGTGTCCCTATGCACTTCACATGAGGGATATTTTACCTACAGTCAGTTGTTTGTTCAAGTGAGGAGAATTAGTACAAATTTTGAACTCTAAATAGCTCTTATTTCCTATGTAAGTTTGCTTGAAGTGTGTTTTTGTGTGTGTACGTGTGTGTGATCTTGTATTTGCCTGTTCATATTTTGTAATGAATACAGTAGAATAATCACATACTACATTTGTAAACAAGATGTAGCTTAATTTATCATGAGCTATCTTCATGCTACTTGGAAATATCTGCACAGAAGAAAATACAGAACTCCAGGGTCTACAGACAACCTATAAGAATCACTTCCTTTGCTTAGAGGGCATAACGACTCCATAGAAATTCTCCCATCTCACTTAAAGACTCTCAGAATAAAGAGAGTGATAGGAGGTTTTTAATAACCCATTCAAATGTCCTCTCTATTTGAGTATATGGCACTTCCTCTCTTTATTTTTACATTAAGAGTAGCTGTCCATAATGGTTCTGCATTACATCTTTTCTTTGTAAAATTTTGTCCATCACCTGATTATCATGACGTCAGAATTTGAATATTTTAGTCAGTAGACTATTTTTTCTTCTTGCTTCATGAATTTTTGCTTTTATTAAATTTATTTAACTTGAAATTTAGTATAATTCCATCTTATTTATTATAAAATATTTACTAATAAAATATGAATAGAAACAATAATTTTGCTATTTAATTTTATTGATATGAACTATACTATGAACATGAGATATTATAAGTAAAAGATATAAAATATTTCAAAGTACTTTTAGAATTGATTGGTTTATTTTAGGTAAAATGTATATTATAATAATATTTGAATTTAGTTAGATCCTCTGGTTCTTCAACTATCTTGAGTCATTGAATCCATCACTTTAGACACATTTAAGCATTCATTGTACCAAATCAAGCTAAAGTATTTATACTTCAGTATAGGAATAGCCCCAGTACTAATAGATTTTAGGAAATGTTTAAACATTCTATAGTTGGAAAATATTTGAGATTTATTCTTCAATACCGGACTCTAAAAGATTTTATCTATTGCATAAAAGAACAAGCTTCCAATTGTCAATGCATAAGCTTTTAATACATCATTGATAGGTACCATGAAATATAGATTAATATTTCATACACAGTATGACAACCTAAAATTTGTGCCCCCAAATAATCCATATATGTAGATAATTAAGTATTTTGAAATATTTTATTTATGTTTATTTAAGTGTTTTGCAATTTTATGGATATGCAAGATGTATCATAATAATTTTCACTTACACTGTGCTCCCTTATCCACTCCCAAGCCTGAGGACCTAAACGCCTTTCTTTCCTCCCCTTCTCCCCTCTTTACTTCATTTTTATACCCATTGATTTAGACTCAGCTTTCTAGCATAAATATAAAAAGGGGTTTATTGACTGATATGGCCAACTATTCAGTTGCTAAAATACCACAGAAAATGAAGAATGCCTCCCCACAGGAAAATGTTAAAGGCCAATGGCGTGTCAGAAAAAGGTGGGACCTCATGAGCCACCCCACAATCCATGGTACAGTGCTGATGGTCCCATTCCAGTCTGGTCTTACACAAGAAGCATATATAGTTGCTATGAGTTTAAATAGTGCAGCATGAAATACACACTTAAACAAGATAATATAATTTATCTTTATTGCAGTCATAAAATTAAGTTTAATAACTTTTACACATAAAGTTATCCCAGTATGTTCTATTATCAGTTTGGTATAAGATATCCAGTAAATTGAAAGTTTGTGTTACAATTATGCTGTTCATTTTAAAATCCTTAAGTTGAACCTTTTACAGAGTGAGGTAACCCAGACTCATAAAGATAAACGTGGTATGTATTCACTCAAAAGTGGATATAGGATGTAATGCTAAGGGTAATCAAGCTACAAACAACAATCCCAGAGAAGCTAGGAAACATGGGAAACCCTGAGAGGGGCAGACATGGAGGGTCCCAGGAAGGAAAATAGTTAAGTTCTCCTGGTTAACTTGGAGGGGGGGGTATGGAAGGGAGGAGATGTGGGATGGGAACATTAGGAATCAAGAAACCTAGTTGGATGTTAACCTTCCTAGACATGGAGGGAGGGGGGAGGACCTTGGACTTTCCACAGGACAGGGAACCATGACTGCTCTTTGGATAGGAGAGGGAGGGGGAGAGGAGGGGGGGGAGGGGGAGAAGAGAGGGGGGAGGGGGAGAAGAGTGGGGGAGGGGAAGGGAAATGGGAGGCTGGGAGGAGGCGGAAACTTTTTTTTCTTATTCTCAATAAAAAAAAAAAAAAAAAGAAAGAAACCTAGTTGGAGAAGGGACGGATGGGGAGAGCAATGAAAGAGGTATCTTCATAGACAAAGCCATTATAGGTTTAGAGAGAAACCTGGTGTTAGAGAATTTCTCAGGAATCCCCAAGGATAATAACCCCAGCCAGCTAAGACTCCTTGCAATAACAAAGGTGTCTGAAGCCCTTTCATCAGATTAGTGATTACCGTAATTGTCATCATTAAACCTGTATCCAGCAACTGATAGAACCAAGGCAGCGACCCACAGCCAAGCACTGGGCTGAGCTCCTGGAGTTCCCTTGAAGAGAGAGAGGAGGAATCATATGAACAAGGGGGGGGGGGGTGGTCAAGAGCATGATGGGAAAAAAATTGCAGAGACAGTTGATCCGAGCTAGTGGAAGCTTATGAACTCTGGACTGACAGCTAGGGGATCTGCATGGGACAGAACTAGACCCTCGGAATGTGGGTGAGAGTTTTTGTGGCTTGATCTGTTAGGGGACTCCTGGAAGTGGCACCAAGAACATCCAAGGTGCATGAACTGACTTTTTGGAGTCCATTCCTTATGGTGGGATACCTTTCTCAGCCTTGATATGGGGGGTAGAGGTCCTTGGTCCTGCTTTTACTTTGTTGACTCCCCTAGGAAGGCCTTACTCACTATGAGGAGTACATAGGCTTGAGAAGGGAGGGAGGTGGCGAGGACAAGAGGAGGGAGGGGGAACAGGACTAGTATGTAAAATGACAAACAATTTTTAAATAAAAATATTAAAAATCATTTGTATGTTATGTACTTGAAAATGCATGCTTCTTTAACATTGCCCTTCTTTTCTTCAAAAAGAAAATTGCAAAATTTTGTATTTGTGTGTGTGTGTGAGAGAGAGAGAGAGAGAGAGAGAGAGAGAGAGAGAGAGAGAGAGAGAGTATGTGTGTGATTGTACATGTGCTATGAGTCAAGATTTTTCTGTGGAGGTCAGAGAACAACTTGCAGGAGTCAATCGTCCTTAATAATAAAAATTCCATATCTAAAGTCAAGTCATTAGGCTGATTGTCTACCATCTTTTCCTGTGAGTTACATCCCTGGTTACATCCCTGTCCCCTCTTTCTTCGTGAAGAATGGAACTTATAGATATATCCTAAGTCCATGTGATGTTTGAAGCCATACTGGATGAAATTAAATCATAGTTTGATGCTTAAGTATTTTTTTTTAAATTAACTATTCAGTAAAAGTGAACACTATTCTTCATGGTCATTAAGGTTACAACAGAAATCTCATGACATCTTTATACAAAACTTTGCACAAGATAAAATCACTTAAATTTTAGAAATGTTGAACAAGTTTGGTCAAAGATGCCATTATTTAAAAAAATGCAGTACAGGCATATTTTATAGCAAATGGCATGGATCAATGAATACAATCTTTTCATTTTACCTGGGGACTGTTGAGAAAATGAAATAAGAGAAATACTAATCTATAATTTAGGTTTGATTCAAATAAATATGGAGGAATAACACACTTAGATTTGTTCTTGAAATGGTGGTTATTATTATAGATTTGCTAACTTTTAAATGATAAGGTAGTATTTTCCATATTGATGTGAGTGTCTGTGTGTCTGTTCTGTACATTGTATCTGAAATATTCTGCACGGATTTCACAGCTCAGCAATTTCTGAGTTTCTTCACCATGATCTTACTTGTTTTGTGTTTTCTTTCTTTTTTTGGTTGCAGAGGCTGGAGTCAATATGAAGAGCACCACTTCTCTCTCCCTCGAAAACAGTTGCCCCTGATATTTTTACTGGATAAAATTTGAAAATGTTTCAGTTCACAACAGCAGATTAGTGAACTGCTATCCCCGGAAGATTTGCTCATGGGAGCCAAAGTGACGACATCTATGGTGCGGTGGAACTGGCTCCCTCTCACCACGATTCATCCCCTTTTCAAACCAAATTTTTTTCTTCTGATCTACAAATATTTTTTTTAAGAAAGGAAAGAGAACAAAGCCTTCATTGGCATCAAGTTCTGTATCAATCCATCCTACATTGCCATCCATGATTTAACAGACTGTAGAATCTTGAATACTCTATATCACTTTAACAAATAAATGTTTTACTATGACACAATTTGCACATTGCCTTATTTTTGGAGATACTTTTTGCTTGAAGCCTGAATGATGGTGTGATTTCTGTAATAAATAATTATGTTTTAATAATAAACTTCTTTTATACAGAAGAGGTGAAAATATTAAGAAATTCCAATTGCTTAATAATAGTAGAACAAACATTTTTAGAGTGTACTCACGTGTAACAGGGGACAACACAACTATTTGAACTCACACACAGAAGTTGCATATTTTGTGAGTGACACACAGTAATAAGGAGAATGGGGAAATTACTAATAGTGCGGTTTGGCTTTGGCTTTCTCCGAGAACCAATGAAGTAGGAAAGTTTAATAACTTGGTCAGGTGTGTGTGTCGTGCTCAGGGTCTTTTCATGGTACAGGTCTTTTGTCCAATTTTCAAAATTTCAGAATAAATAAAATAACACACTTACATTAATACCAGAATATGTAGAAATGAAATACTTTTCGTGGTTACAAATATGAAGAGAGCTACACTCAAATAGTGTCCAACCTTAGCCTACTACAGTATTCTTGGACTGAAGCATCAGGAGCAATTTCTGTACTTCATCTCCTAAACTGTCAAAAATATTTGAGTAAAATTTAAAAATACACATAAACTGTCTTAGTTCATGGTATGAGATTTAGGCTTAATGAACCTTACATGGCATTCTTTTTACTATTTGAAACTGTGGTTTGTCAAGACTGGCAAATTATATGTATGTTCCTTTATCATACTGATAGTTCATTGCAAACAGGAGCCCGATACACTAGGCAACAAGAACACTTGCATAAACATACCAGTCATGCCAAATACGTGATTGAAGTGACTTTGTTGAGCTTAGATTTTAGTGATGATTTCTGGCATTAGCAATTGTCTTAATTCTCTGATTTTGACACTTTAATAATTTGGGAAAATGTGGTGTGTGTGTGTGTGTGTGTGTGTGTGTGTGTGTGTGTGTGTTGAAGAAAGGGGTATACACTAAACAACTTAGAGTGGCTCAGATTTCATCCACAATGCTTGTTTTCCCATCCAATGTGCAAATGTTAGGGACAGTGGTGTTTCTGGATCACAGCCCAGATCAGTATTTCAAGGACTATTGTGGAAATGGTCTTATTTGCCTCCTTACTCCTTGGACTCCGAATCTCACTTTCCTTGGTCGTGATAATCAATTGGTGTTTTCAGCCTGGTATGTTGTTGTTATTATTATTATTATTATTAAAAAACATAATTTTCTTTTCTACAGAGTATACTTTTAATGTGTTAGAATGGAAATTTAAATTTCTTAGTTTGCATTTCCAATAATAAACAAATTTTTTCTTTTATATTTTTATTCAGTCAAGCATTAAGGAAGCAATCATAATGTTTACATTTAAAATAGTAATTATTAGGAACAGTTTCATTATGTGAATATCAAGGTATGCAATGATGAAAAACTTTATGCAAAGACATACATGGATATATTTTGAAATTAGTATTTTTACATATTTGTTTATTTACATATATATGTATATGTATGGGTTTGTATATGCTGTGTCATGCATGTGGAACTGAGGGGAAAATTTGTAGGTTCCCTCTTTCTATCATATATATTCTGGTGTTGGAACATAAATCATCAGTTGTTGGCAGGCAACTCTACCATATTAGCCATCTCAATGGACCCAAACTTCCATATATTGAGGATATGCAAGAGAAAATGAATGTATAACAAAGTGAGATCTATGATCATTTACAAAGTTCCCAATGAAGTTAAAAAGATAATTTGAAATAAGTGGTCATAAAAAATTTATTTCATTATTTAATGATGCAAATGAATAATCTAAGAATGTCAACCACCTCATGCAGAAGTCATCTCTATATATATTTTTTTAATTTTTGAGTAATTTTGCATTTTGTGTGTGTGTACTAAAGTGAATATTATAGGTGTGGATGTCAACAGAAGCTACTAAGCAGCATCTTAGATACAGTACTTTATAAAACATTGTAAGCACGTGCATAGGGATTCAGATAAGAAGTGTTACACTTGTTCCCCATGCAGTGCTTGTGAATTGTTTGGCAGCCTGGATGCGATAGATTCAGCTATAAATCTATAATTTTTATAATCATAATCTGAAGAGCTAAGAGTGACTAATAAAATATAATGTTGCTCAAAAATAATAACATAAATAAGGTTCAATTGATTTTAATTACTTCTTTTAGTTTTTACAAATGATATTTAGTGTCTTATAGTAATTTTGATTTCCAGTTTACTGAGAAAATATGCAATATTTATATAGAATGTTTTAGAATTTGGTTGCTTTTCAAAATATACTTATATACTCAGATTGTTTCGTTCTGTGGTTAACTTTCAGTTCATTTGGGAATACATTATTTTTAATCTTTATTTCAAAAATGCATTTATATTAGCATTTTTTTCAATTTGCTGATGAAATATATGTTCAAAATATGTGGAGACACTGATGATACTAATCATGCAAACTCTATTAAGTTCAGCCAGAGTCAAACTTCTCCAGTGTTGGAAAGCTCTATTGTACATGCAAATATGAACACTGGGAAGAGCTCTACTCTGCCTTTCAGAAAACGTTTTCATCGTGGAAAACGTATTTAACACAATAGGGGACACAATGACAAATTTCAGTGTCCCTCACATTCACAGTATTCAGCAAGGCTTTTCAGCCCTAAACGCTCATGCCATTCCTGTAGTAATGATACTCATTTCTTCCTCCCCTGTTCCTGATGAGCTCATTAACCTTTGCACACTGTGAATCTGTCAAGTGTAGACATTTCACCTAAACAAGGTCTTGTAATATTAGTCCTTTTGTGTTTGGTTTATTCCGATTATCATCATGTAAGGTTAATTCACATTGAAGCATAAAGAACATATATATACACACATATACATATATTTATGTGTTATATTGTTTTAACCATTCGTTTTTATAGACTTCCACTCTTTGGCAATGTTAATCATGTCAAAATGTACATTATGTTCAAGTATCGTTTGATTCTCAGTTTTCAATTTTTTACATCTGTGTTTAGTTGTTGAGTTCCTAGGTTTTGTGAAGATTTTTTAATCCTTATTTTGTTTTTGAAAAAAATCATTTGTAACAAGCTGCTTTATTGATGTCCACTACACCTACATTGTTTTACTTTCTCCTAAGCAATGTATGTGACTTAAGTTTTTTACAATTATAATATTGGAATAAGTCTAAATTACAGCCACAAGATGTTTAACCAAAAAGGTACACTTGAAGAATTATTTCATTATGTGATTTTTTTTCATTCTAATCAGTTCAAAATGTATATTTACTAAAATGACATAGGTACAATATCATACATAGGGGCTCAACATCATACAAGGTGTCATTCATTGAATTGTTATGTAACGATTGTTTTTTTTTTTTTCAGTGAATTTGACTTTCATTTCTCAGATGTCTATTGGTGTACTTATTGGACCTTGGACCTTTTAAAACTTCTCTGCTGAATTGTACACTCAATTTCCTTGTCTCTTAAAACATGATTCTCTCTCTCTCTCTCTCTCTCTCTCTCTCTCTCTCTCTTTCTCTTTTCCTCTCAGCTCTATTTGTATTTGAGATGTTTAGATATCTGTTATGGGATTTACGATTTTTGAATTTTCTTTATCCCATATTATAAATTATTTTCCCACAGTCTTTTCTCAAAATTTCTTATTACATCCATTTATGTAGGGTGTGACTATGTATACAACATGATGTGTGCTAGGTCAAAGAAATTCTTTTTAAAGTTTTTCCCTTTCAGCATCTGGGTTATGGAGGTTGAATTTGGTTTGCCAGGTTTGTCCTTTATTATAGTCCCACATTTTTAATATTCTTCTTTAAGGAAAAAAATGAATTATTATGAAGTCAGTATGTGTTTCTTTTCTATTATTGCTCATCAGTTTAGTGTTGAACAATTTTTCTCTAACACAAGGAAATGGTGGATTTTTTTCTTTACAATTTTACCATTTGATCTAAAGTAAGTTTGTACACAGCATGAAGTGGAGAAGAAACACATTATTATTATTATTATTATTATTATTATTATTATTATTATTATTATTAATTTTGACTGAGAAGTCAAGTCAGGGAAGGACCATCAGAATACACTGTTACTTTCCACTAGACCTCATGTTTGTCTTATGAGAGTCCCAAGTACTGTAATTAGTAGGGTTCAATTAGCTGCTGAAGGGATCTTACAAGTACACAGTTTTCTCTTTTTTTCTCCTTCTTATCAATATCATTTTCAATATTTAGGAAATAATGAAATTCAACAGTCATTTGTTGTTCAGATTTCTCATTTCTATAAAAAACAAATTCATGTTGAAATTTTTAAGAGATTCTAAGAAACATGAGATTATGCTGTAGAATATGAAGCAGTTACCAACATTAGGGCTTCTGATTCATGAGCATGGAATGCTTTCACAGTTGCTCTGTTATCCTTAATTGCTTTCAACAGTTTTTATTGTTATTCTAAGTACTGATTATCTCATGACTACACTCAGGGTCTTTCATTAGGTCTTGTAGCATTTGATTTATTTTCTGGAGTATTCTACATATAAAATCTTGCTGTAAGTGGAGAATTTTTCTAATTTTCTCTTAGAAGTCCCTTTGATTTTCATTTTTTTGCATAATTTTGACTGAAAAAAGCAGAAATGAAATTGTACATCTCTGTCCTGTCTCTGTTATTAGAGAAAAGCTTCTAGACGTTCATAGCATGTATTTGTAATTCCTGGGTTATCTATATATTTTATTATGTTAAGAAATGTCCATTTGTTACTATATGTCTGTCATTAACATGAAAATGTGTTAGATTTACCAAATTCCCTTTCTTGGGTCAAATAAGATGAATGTGCATAGTTTATTTTTACAAATGCATTCATTTAGTATTTTTCATTGACATATTTTTTTCCTCTTAACTTACCATAGAAATCATAACCTAAAATCTCTGTGTCCATTGTC